CATCTTCAAGCCCTTTTTCAGGACTATGACACCTTTACACTATGAAGATCAATGTGTTTTAACAGTTAAGGGGGTGGCTGCAGTAAACACAAGACTTTTGTACTTCCAGCTTTCATAACCTCATTATGGCAGACTATTTTTTTCATTATCTTTATGGGTGGTTTTTAATGTGATAAATTCATTTGGACAAATTTGTACAAAGCTACCAAGTTATAACAAAGTACAACTGGGTTGTATTTTTTAACAGACGTTAATCAGAGAATCCAACTGAATTTTTCCTTCATTCTGTACAGTGGGGAGTAGTTTTGCTTAGACAGTATATGTGAAAGCAATGCCTCAGTAATGAACAAGATTATAAATAAACTAATACTTAAATAATTCACTTTTGTTATGTAGTAGTGAACCTGTGAATGAAAGTGTCTAGACATCATAAAGACAAATGATGAAGACTAAAACCCATCAAATTTTATTTCAATTTTGCTGTTGTGTAAAGGGATATAAACCCTGAAAAATGGAGCTCCTGGAGCCTTGTGTGAGCGCTGGCAACACACAAGAGCCAGAGAGAGGCAGCTGGGGTAAACTGCCTTTTCTCCAGTAAGATAAAAACATTTTAAGCCTGATTAGAGAATGGTCACAACATTGAAAAGACTAATTGTGAAGGTGTGTTTTTTTCATTTGCATGGTTTAGTGCATCTAACATCGCATTTGTGTTCATTATCTAACCATTGTCTTTTTCAAAGTGCACCTTAGTAAAATAAGGTACTGTTCCTAAATAAGGAGAATACCAAATCCTGTGATTTAGTATTGATGTCCACTTGTTCAGCTGGGAGTTGTGACAGAATGCATTAACTTTGAGCCAAGAACTTGCACTATGCAGTTGTTCAAGCATCACAGAAATACTGGATTTTTTTTCTCTAGGAGCATGGTCTTTCACTTAAGCATGGTTCTGAGCACGTGGTCATGCTGTGAAATCACAACACCATGGAACTGGTTATGCTTTTATGTAAAAAAAAAAAAGTAGGACTGTATTATCAAGGACTTTTACTTCTTGCCTGTGAAAGAAGCCTACCAGAAGTATAAGCAGTGTTAGACCCTCTGGAAAATACTGCTTTTCTTTGATAATATCAGTTAAGCTTTTTTTTTTTCTCTTCTGTGAAACAGAGTCCAAGTTTCATGGAATCAATCTTTCCTAACCAGGATTCACCCTTCCCATTGTTAAGAGCGTTTTCGTGTACCTCGCATCATGGAGGCAGAAATCACCCCTTAAACTTACCACAACTTCATTTGTCCAGGCACAGATACCTCCCAAAGATGCATGTAGAGTGAATAAAATTGCACATGCTGTCTGATTTGAACTAGTTCCTGAATGCTTTTACAGATGGAACACTCAGAAGGCACAGTAATGCAAATAGGGGCTCTTTCTCAAGGCATAAGCCAGCTTACGGTAGGTACTCATTTCACTCTTGTTCTGAAATCACAAATCTGTTCTGTCTGCTAAAATTCAGTGAAAGTTTGTCATTGATGGTGGTAGTTAAGAGTAAGTGGGTCACTATTCTTGTTAAATACCTTCTTATAGCCTGGTTGGGCATTTGGTAAAGAAACCACCCTGCTTTTAAATTGCTCTAGAAATTAAGTTTCACTTAGGCCTATTTAAGTTTTCATGAACTCTGCTATCTCTTTAACACAATGACAGATATTCATCCCCTTAAATGAAAACAATTCTTCAAAGATTTTGCACCACCAAATGCCTCAGTCCCAGCAAGGACTAGGAATGAGGTACAGACTTGAAAATGTACATGAGGTAAAACTCCATGGAAAACAAACAACCCCCCCTCCTCATTATTAACTCCTCACTCCACAGAGGCTAATTTATTAAAAAACAAAACTAAGGGACTGAATGATATAATGAAGAATTATATAAGGTAGTTGAGTCGCATGCCACACACGAGCTCTCTAAGGATTTCCTCAAGCAAAAAAGTGTATTTAAAGCTATATTCAAGAAATTCCTTTTAACTGTATGCAGCTCTAACCCCCCCTGTTGTGAGTCTGATCTCATTACAGCTGGCTTTCTGTGACTGAACACTTTCTCACTCCTTCCCTCCCGTCTTGCCTTTTCAGACGCTGTTAAGCCAGGATGAAATGCTCAATGACAGCAAGTTTTTAGCACCTACCTATGAAGACTGGAGATGATGTTCCAGCGTGACCAAGAACACTACTCATACCTCATGCCTGTCAGGAGTGGCCAGGAGCAGCTGGAGGCCCTGGTGCAGGATGGCTTTACCTCTCTTCTACTACTGTGACTTAGCACATAGCATTTAATGTAGCCACACCTCACAGGTAACTCTCCTCTGTGCTGTTTTTCCACATAGTGTCATATGAAATAGGTGTTGGGAGAAGAATGGGACTCAGATCCAGAGTCTGGAAAGCCAAGACTGGCACCCTGTTTTACCCTTTCATTCAGTCCTCTTTTACATGGTGTGTTACATGAAAGACCTTTTGTAATTTTTTTTATTTTTATAATTAACTTGTAACGCAGGAATCATTAATACACTATTGTACTGTGTGGGCTTCCGTCAGAGCTACCTGGAAATTCAGGTGGATGCTGGTGAGTGCAGCAGTGATGGCTCACTCAGTACTACTCTGGTCTTGCCAGACTGGTTCCCATAAAGGATTTTAATCTCTCATCCCTTTCACTGGCACACGTCCTACCCTCTTTTTATCTAAGTCAGTGCAGTGTCTGGGAAGAATGGAACATAATGCTGTCCATCAAGCCCTTGATTTTATCAGGAGGACAACAAGCTAGCATGTTCACAAATCTTAGTGTGATGCAAAAAAATGCTGAACTACAGCAGGATTGTAACTCCAAGACTACCAGAAAAGTATCATAATAAAACAAATATTTATTTCTTTAAAACACCTGGCAAAACAGATCTGTTGCTATTCTGCTGAGCTAGGCATGACTGCAGCAGAGGGGATTATGGCCTCTCACTACTTACTTGAGGGGCTGCTTGAGGGTGAAACCATCTCCTTTACAGCAGCAATTACTTGTGGCATCTGTTTACATATGTGCCTCTCTTGTATTAATGAGCTATTAACAAGCTATGTTAGTAAATAGGGAAATGCCAGACAGAAATCTGCTTAGCTGTAAGGAAAAGACTTTGTATCTGGCTGGTTTGCCTTACTCTCTGACTCTCTTGCAACACTCACTGACTGCAGGGTGTTGTTTTACATGCTAATAGAGCCTGAGGGCAGGTCACTCCCAGCCACAACCCTCCCAAATAAAGGGGAAATCTCCAGTATTGTCCAGAGCATGCAGCAAGGGCTCTTAGAGAACTACCAGTGGCACTTTTTGAAGGTGACCTATCCTACTCCTCACTCCATGAGTTTCTCATGGCAGACCTTGGAGTGTACAGTCAGATTTAGGAAGCTAAACACATGATTTTTATGGTTCAAAATGGTAGAGCCAAAGCAAATTCTTTTCAGTTGCTGAAAAATTAAATGATAATGGAAAATCCAGAGGCATGAGATGTCAGTCTGCACATCAGCCAACTACAAATGTTAAATAAAAGCTATTAAATGTACCAGTCTGGCAGTCAGTACTAGTGACCAGATCAGGCATCATGGGCATTTGAAACACCTTTCCAGGTTAATTAGCCAGCAGTCTGCAAATGGGATAAACTGCTCCAGCATAGGCAGCCTTAGTATCACTGGGATATTCCAAACAGATTTTCCTATTTCTTTCAAAGCTGTGTTTATAACTCAGTGTGTTGTTGTGCTAACTTGGCTGTGAATAGTCAATCTACAAAATTATTGATTTTTTTTTAAATATTAGTAAGAAATCCTAATTAGCATAACACTGGTATAAATGCTTATTTTTTGACTGTTAGCAATAAATTCTGGATGTTCCTTTATCTCTTCCTGACTGTGGAATGATTTAACACAAATACAAGTAGCTGACCTCTATAAGGGATAGAATCCCAGTCTGAATCCCCATGTCTTTCCTTGCATTATTGCTACAAATGTAGCTGATAAAGTACAAAACCCCAGTGTCAATTTTAAACTAGTAGATTCCTTTAGATTTGCTTTAGATTAATAAAAATATTTAGCAAAAACCTATATTAACTGCTGAAGAAGCAAGTCTGCTGGCCCAGGGATTTGTCAAATATAGTGTGAACTAATTCCTGAAAATGACCATGAAGGACTTCAGCACTGAATTTTTAGTCTTCAGTGCCTAAGTGGTAAAAACTCTAAGATGAGGCACTACCTGAGTGTGATCAACTCAGCATAGTTTACACCAGGCAAAAAGAAGCCATGATATCTCTTAAGCAAAGGAAATTTCTTAGCAAGCTCCAAGAGAATGACATGCAAATGATGCAACATCCCTTGGCAGTGCTTCTTTAGCTAAGGCTGTTAGAAGACAGCATGAAGGCATGTAATCCTCCCAAATAAATTTCACACTAATGAGAATTTCTGTTACAATAATAAGTAATTTTCATGTTACCCAAATTGTGCTCACTTTTTCAGTAGCAGACTGTGACTTCTTTCTTAGTCCCTGATAAAAGGGCTGTAAAAGAGCATTAAAAAAAAGGAACAAAAAACCAAAACACAAAAAAACCCTGTGCTTTGTACTCTCCTTCCCCAGGATTCACTAAATGAATTACCTGTGGAACAGTCAAGTGATCCTACACCAGTTTTATAACCCATGTTGAAAAATAAGTGGTTCTCTCTCTCTCTCTCCTACCTCTCTGATTACACTTAATTTTTTTTTCCCCTGAGAATTCATTTTCATACTAACTCTTAAGAGGTTAGACTGAGTTACTGCCACACAACTCAAGATGATTTCTCAACTTCTTAATATCAAAACACGGAAAGCTAACTATGAAGTTATAAACCTCAGAAATTACTTTTAGGGGTTAAAAACAATCACAAACACCCCAAAAAAAAACCCACTGCACAGTTACATATCAGTTGTTCCTGTAGGAAAATAACACAGTACTTACAAAAAGGTATCAGATGGCATCTGTGTTAATAAGCAAATGTGCTGCTCTTGGGATAGCCAAGCTTGTCCAGGTTGGGCTGACAGGCAAACTGAATCATTGGAGGTGGCCCACACATGAGAATGAGGGTCTCACTGCCCGGGGAAGGGAGGTGGGCTTTCATCATGTCTGCAGTGACAAAGCCAGAACTGTACTTCCAGTCTGAAAGAAAGAAATTAAACTATTAATTTGAAAAATCTATAGAGCCTGAAGCCTTTTTAAACTGTGTATGTTGCACTCACAAAGCAGCTGAAGAATCAGCAGTCATGCCACCACCACTGTGAGCCAGGAGAGGGTTAAATTTCTCACTGAGCTTAAACCTAGTGGTCCCCTTCCACAGGGACAACAAGCATGTGGATAACAAGGACCTGGTTGATAAGTCTGTGAATAAATGTTAGATTTAAAAGAAATGAGCAGGCAAGAATAAAAAGGAAGAGTGAATCAGCTTTTCCAGTGAAGAGAGCTCACCCAGTGGCAGTTGTGCAGGGAGAGCTATCCAACACATTTCTGCATTTATGTTTTTTTTAGAGATCAAGGTGACAAAGTTTGATGATGACAAAAGCTCCACCATGTATTTAAATAAGAGGAAAAAAAACTTAAAAGAGGAAAGAAATGCTAAATTATTTCAAGCAGTAATATTATTGAATGTACCTGACATTTGAAGTGAGCAGTAGGAAAACTGCCTTCATATATAAAAGTATGTGCTTTAAGCTCATTTCTCATGAGCAAGATATTATGAAAAAAGCAGCAGTCAAAAGGCATATGAAATGTCAAGAAGGGTCAGGAAAGGAAAAGGGAGAATCACATCAAAGCAGAAATACAGTTTGCCTACACCTTGATTGCTGCTGTTCAGTTCTGATCTGCTCAGCTCAGCTCAAGGGACACAGCAGAGCTGGAAAGGGTTGAGAGGACACAGCTGAGCAAAGGTATGTAATCACAGCAATCTTCAGTGTAGAAGAGATGTGGCAGCAGGAGTGATTGACAGAGGTCTGTAAAATTAGTAACGTGAAGATTTAACACTCTGCCAACACAAGGATTAAGAGGCAAATGGAAACCAGAGGAAGTTGTTCTCCACAGAAACGTGCTATTCCTATGGAACCACTCACAGACTGTCAAAACACCCAGGATAGACACTTTGTTTTGACAAATGTAGCCCACTGAGAGTGACTGTATCTCTAGAGACACATTTGGCTCCAAACTGAGAAATATTAAAGGCCCTTACATCAGCAAGCATGAATACCCAGTTTCAAAGGAAATATAGAGCTCAACTCCTACACCAGCCCCCAGGTAACACACTAGTCTATAATGGAAGCCTACAACCTAATCTAGAGCTGCTGCAAAATAAAGATGTGCATGTTTACAGGTATTAGGCAATTTGATGCCACAAAATGCCAACATAAACTGGTCTGGGAGACAGCCCAAAACAGAGCTGAACTTTTGCTGAAAAGTCCCAAAAACAGGCACATCCTGAAATACATGGAAAGATCCACTGAGTAACATGTCTGACCCAATGTGAGTTAACTATTAGTTCACACTTTCCAAAGGCCCACCTGGCTTAGATCACTTTTTAAAGCAGGGGTTTTGGTAAGGGGTTTTTTTCCTGAGGAGCTGGGGGATGTCTTTGCTGTTTAAAACTGTAAAACAATAAGACTTGATCTGATGTTCCCCTGAACAAGAGTGGAGCTCTGCCTGTTGTACAGCAACAAGCAAAGGCACTCCTGTGTGTCCCAGCCTACCTTGAGGAGGTCTGTCCAGTGTGTACCACAGCACAAACTGCTCAGGATGCCTCTTCGCAATATCTTCTAGCTCAGCTCTCAGCAATATATCACTTTCTGTCTGCAAAATGAGACTGTTGGTTAGCTCCAAACCATCCCCCAAGGGCCCTCTGATGTGAGCTCATCTGGCATTCAAGACAAATGCAGTGATAAAGCAAACCAAGAAGCTGATTTGGATTTTCCCCCCTTCCGTGATATCTGTTATCATTACAGGCTTCTGTGAATTCAATTTAAGAAAAACAGACTATGAGGCTTATTAGACACCTAAACACAGTCTTAAAGATGGCAATCTAAACAGCTTTTTAATCCAAGCTAAAGTCACAATGACCTGGATTTGTCTCTGACCCTGGCAAGTATGGCCCTGGACCAGCATGGTGAAGGTTAACTGTACAGATTAGCAGAGACAAATCCTTTTTCCTTGAAATCAGTGAAGGAGTAAGATAAGTAGAGGGATCAGGATCTGATAATGGAATTTGTTCCCTAATATAGGAATTAAGTGAAACTATGAAGAGACACCTTCAAAACAAATGAAATAAGATCATAGAAATCCATGACAGCACCACACAAGTATTTATAAAGGGCCTTAAGGATAACTCTTTAATTCAGTTTCTCTTTCTTAAATAATTTTAACCCAAGACAATACATACATAATAACCATTTCCTGCTCTTCCCTATACTGATCATTTTTAAATGTGCTATCTCAGATGGTATTTTCTCATAAATGGTTGGGTTAAAATGCAAACCCAAAGACACTGGAAGAGTATGAAACGTGTGTCATAAGTTTAAAAAGCCCAGAGGCCAGCAAACAAAAGTAGGCTAATAAAGAGGAACAAACAGGTGGGTCAGAATACTCACCTGATTGGCAAAAATGAGGTAACATTTTGTGGAGTCCTTGGGATCATTTGTGATCTGACGAATCAGCTGCAACATCGGGGTTATTCCTGTTAAAAAACACAGTGGTCATAAAATGGGTATTTCTTTCCATGGTTGCAGTTTCAGTATTAATGCTGCCTTTCTTCAGTCTTCACTGGGAGCTTGGTTTGCACAGGGTTACATATCTCTGAATTTCTAATCCACATCAAATGCAGGGGTTGGGGGTTTCTATTATTACAAATAGTTTCAAAACAAACCCACAGTACTTGTGTACAGGGCTTTCCTCTTCATCATTCTGTCACATACAGTAACTTTACACTCTCATGACATTCTCCTAAAACACCCTTTGTCACTGAGAGATGAAGTGACTTCTCTGAGGTCTCAGGGTAGATCAATATTCAAACTGAAGTTGCTACCCCCCAGGACTGAGCTCAAGCCACTGAAGCCACTGCTGAAGCAACTATGTGTTGCCAAATGCTCATGAGAAGAAATACAGGTGTAAGTACTCTGCTAAGGTACAGTGATACTTCTCACATGCATCCATAAAGACATTTTGATTCTCTAGACATTCCATAAGATGAGAGCAGTTTTACCTGTTCCTCCAGCTATCATCCCAACATGCTTTGCAAACTTTTTCTCTGCTTCAGACTTCTTATTAGGCTTGATAAGAAAGGTACCTGGAAGAAATATTCAAAACCTATAGCTACATTAACTTCCAAACAAACATGGATACAAATTCCATGGCAATAAATTACTACAGCCTACCAATTAATTAAGAGAAATGTTGTGGAAATGCTCAACGGACTCAGCACAGCACTGAGTACAAGTGTGGAAACCTCTTTGTCTCTGTAAACTCCAATCCTTGCTTTGAACAACAGATTTACTCCTTTCCTGCTACCCAGCATTGCTTATAATAAACTCCAGGATTCTCACCTCACTGCCTGTAACACAACTCACAGCAGTGAATATCAGTGGCAGCTGAAGGTAACCACAGCCCCTACTACAGAGAAACAGGTTTCCTAGGCCACCTTCATCATCCTCACTTGCACTATGGATGTAGCCATTTGTGTATGCCTACAATTAATGGAGTTGTTATTAAACCAGCCTCAAGCAAGAATCCCTGCAAAGATTAGATTTAGGAATGTTGGAGCCTTAGTTTTATCAAGTTTTTCATTACTGTAATTAATTTCCAGTTAGTGAGATGCCTGTTACACTCACAGCCAGCAGGGTGACTGCCTTCAAGTAGCTTGTGATGAGAAGACCTTTGCCAATTCCTTCAGAACTATCACAAAACCAGGCAGTTTGTAATTAAATTAATCTCCAAGGACCAAGCCAAATGAAAAGCCTGTGTAAAGGATTATATATGAAAAGCACTTGACATGTTCCAATTCTTAAAAGATCCATAACTAGCAACAAGCTTCCCTAGCTACTACTTTTTATAGCTGCCAAAGCAGAGAAGACAGGAACATCTCTAAAACACACATCCATCACCTCCTCTGAGATATAAAGGACTCTGAGATATAAAGCTGATGACCACAGGAGGTCACAACCCAGAGAAGCCCTGAGCACTTATCCCCCAGAGGTAAGACTTGAGTGCACAACTCCTCTCAGTCAAGATCAATGCAAAATCTTTCAGTTGTATCTTACAAGAGGATTACTCCTCTGAGCTTATTTCCTCACAGTCAACTCAGACCTGTTTTAATTATGCAATGGAGCTGGCTCTCAGTCAGTGGGTTATTCAGTAACAACGCTGAGATTCTCAGGGGGCCTTAATTATATTATCCCAGGAGTGTAACAATCGTCAGTTATTTCTTACACAAAGTAAACACAAAGTATTCTTTTCTGTCATATCAACTCTGATGGGCTCTTGGTCAAGTCTACAAAAGGTGGATTTTCTCTTTTCTGCCTCACAAAAAAAAAGGTTCTCTGCAAAGTTGTCAAGTTTTATAGAACACCTCTGAAAATAACCAATACAAGTTCCTCCCTTTTGCTCTCCCACCTTCATGTCACAGTACCTGCCCCCTTATACACAAGGAGTCCATTTGGCCCTCTGAAATCAATAGTATCTCCAATCTTCATGCTATCTAGGTACTGAGACATCTTCCCACCTTCTGGGAACTTGGGATTCACATTTTTGTGGTAGACCTGTAAAAAAACCAATAACTTGTGTGATATCAACCACTAATTTTCCTGTAGACATTATTACAAACTGCAGAACACCATACTACGGGTCTGAAATGGGGCACCTGAGAAAAAATTGAGACAATTCTTTGCTCTTATTCTGGCTGCTTCCTGTTGCAAGGTTTAATAGATAACTAAGTTAAATGTGCTGTCATGCACTTGTCCCTGTGCTCTGCAGCCAGGTCAACAGGAATGGGTGGCAGGCAGATTATCTGCTGGTGCCCTCATTTCACTGTCGCTTCAGCAAGACCCTTGTGTCACCCCATTTTTGTAACCATTCCTTCTGAAAATAGCATTGCTGCATCTTTTTAAGACTTTCCCAGAGACTCAGCCACACGACAGCTTTTTCAGCTTTCAAAGCACATAGGAAGTATTAAGTAGCTAATAACAGTTCACCACACTTGTAGCATGAAGAACAGAGCATGCAAAAAAAAAAAAAAAAGCCCAGATTGCCTAAGGACAAACCCTATTGTAGAAAAGGATTAGAAAATCCAGAAGTCCTGGGATCAGATCATCCTGCATTCCCTGGCTTAAATGATTTCCCTTGTTTGACTTGTTTTCTACTTAGAGCTGTTAGTAGTAAGCATTAGCAGCAGCACAGGCATCTTGAGGGAGAGGGATCAGTTTTCATGCATTGCCAAATAAAAGATACTGGGGAAGTTCCTGCACTACTGCCAAGGAAGTGATTCCCTTCTCCATCTACTCTACCTCTGCTATCTCTAAGTGCCACACAGCAGATACACAGGATACAACTTACTATTCAAGGGTAATGTGAAATGAGTTGTTTGCCATGCATTCACCCTATTTGAAAGAAGATGAAACCTGATGAAAATGAAATTTAACAAGATTTGAATGAAAGAAGATGGAATTTGATGACTAAATCAAAACAAACCATATCATTAAAATGAAGTATTTGCCTTCCTTCCAGTTAGCAACTTATCCATATTAAAGCAAAACAAAATTTACCTTTATAATTAAATCAACGTAACCTTTTGTCTCGTCACTGGAAACTGGGGTATAGGCTCGAATCACCAGATTGCCATCGATTTTTGCAGAAAGGTAAACATGTTGGCCTGAGGAGAAAGAATTACAATCTGATTATTTTTTCACCCCTGGAGGACAAGAGAGAAAGGCAGGTAGTGTAACCTGTTATACACATGCAATGACAGCGAAAATATTTGCCATATAATCACTGTACAAGATATCTGGTTTCTTCTCTTCTTTTAGCAACAGTTTCTGGAGGATGGAGTAACTGAGGAGAGCTGGTAAATACAGAAACAAGGATAAGGTACAAGGAAAGTAGGAAATTGATGGTAAAACAGCAATATGGAAAGCTTGCTGGTCATTTCTGAAGTGCTCTCTGTATTTTGGGTTCTGCTGTTCTCATATTCATTGATGAAGAGGATCTATGGGTACACCAGTTCACACAGGCACAGAAATATGCACTGTTTAACAGCAGCAACCTCTCAGAGCAAACTTCCCAGAGACCCTGCACTAAAACATCAAGAACAATGCCTTGGACTGTATTCCTTCTCTGTATCTTCTGCCTCCATAACCATAACGATCCTGGTAGAAAGCAGAAGGCAGGAATCTCCCAGAAAGTAACATGGCCCATACAGTTTCAGGATCTTATTCCTACATTCTTAGGAAAGAAGTCTAGAGGAACACAATCACTGCAAGGCACATCTTGGTTGGTTTAGCATTTATCTAGTTAATGCAGACAGTTAACTACTCTTTCCCATGCAAGCCAGAAGAGAATTTGGAGAAAGACAGCTGCCCTTGACCCCTTGACAGGCAGCATGCAAGAAGGACGTGCTCAGAGCATGGAATGGGAAAACCCTGACACTTGCCATCCAGCACGGGACACTGCGAAACAGTACAGAACAAACAGGGCTGCATCTGCCACATCTGCAGATCAGAGAGAGACACAGACTTTCCCCTACAGAGATTACCATCAATTCAAGGTCCAAGGTTCAGTGCTATCGGTGTTCCAGGGTACAGGGAAGTAGAATGTGCCAATCCTAGCCTGAAATTACCTTCATGCTACAGAAACGTGTATAAATCAAAGGTAAGTGCATGCAGGCTCTGAATAGTTCAGCATCTTCTATATACACTAGTTGTATTTCCCCCAGTAGTTACAAGCTTCCCAGGCAGAAGACTTGTTCTCTTTCTCATTTACAAGTGTAACTGTGTTTTCCAAAAGCATGAGGCCAGCTGGCAATAAACTAAGGGCACCAGATGGAAGCAGAATGCAAATAAGAGATATGAAAGCTACCATTTAATACATTTGACAGCTACCATTCTTGCTTACATCCTGACTGGTGATGTATTCCATCAGACAGGTTAGTTTCACTGCTCTTGTTCTAAACCACGCCACACAACTGAACACAAGCAGAACAAAGCACATACAAAAGATCAGAAATACAACCCTTTGGGAAACCTCTGAGAACAGCAGCATTCAGATGCAGCTCTTAACTCTTCGCTTTGCTGAGCCTTAAATTCCCAAACAGTCAGAAGTCCAAGGACTATGAGAATAGTTACAAATCCTAAAAAAAAAGAAATATATGTAATAAAACATTTCCAGTACTTACCTACAGGTAATCCTAATATATGATCAGTTGAAGGTAGCCCAAATCGGAATTTCTTAGTGTCATGACTGATTTCCTGGAAAGCAAAGTTAGAATAAGGTCAGCATCACCACTGCTTTGAATTTCAAACTATGCTCAACACAGTAGGCTTCAGTAAGCCTGCTCTGTGTTAGCATGCACGCAGAATGCTGGGAAAGGACACAGAAATGGCTTTGAAAAAAACAGTTTAAATAAATCAGAAGAAGTTTTAGAAGTGGTCTTTTCCTCTTTAATTCCACAAGGAGTGGCATTTTGTCCTGTCTGCCCAATCCCCACGGCACCTTTGCGTGCAGTAAAATCTGGAAACCCTATTGCCCAAGGCCGGTGAGCACACGCCGTGACTGCGGCCAAAGATCAAGGCGGGGCAGGGCGTGCAGAAACACGCGGGGTTGCATCTCACCGACGGCACACGGGGCAGAAACCCGGGGAGAAACGCAGCGGGAAATTCCGGGGAGAAACGCGAAGCAGCCGGGACTGTCCTAGTCTACCCCGCGGAAACCCGCATTCCCCAGACCCCGGCCCCGCAGGCCCCAAACCCCGCGCTCGGTCACCTCTTGTCCAGCAGCCGCAGCGGGTAACTTGGCGAGCGGGTTCCTGCAGGGTGACGGGGCCGCTCGTCCTCCGCCCGCTCCCCCCGCAGCAGCAGGGCAGCAGCAGGGCCGAGGCCGCCACCACGGCCACGGCCACGGCCACGGCGCTCCCTGTGGGGAGGAGAAGGGCAGGCGGTGAGGGCTCCGTCCCAGCTCCCGCTTCCCGGCTCGGCCCGGTCCCCCCCGCCGGCCCCCTCACCCCAGCGCTTCCATGGCTGCCGCCTTCTCGCCCGCAGCTCCCGCAAGCTCCCGCCGGGCCGGCTCTGCCCGCCCTCTGCCCGCCCCGACCCGGGTCCCGCCCGCTCCCGCCTCCGCTCCTGCCTCCCGGGCCCGAGCCTGGGGAAGGGCTGGGGCCGGGCTGGGGTGGGACCCGGGAACGAAGGCCGACTATGAAGTATTTTCGTGGCTTCACAGAAAACTCATTCTCAATATTTTGCGGGGTTTTGGCTCAAACTTTACACTGCGAGAAGAAAGTGGTGGATACGTTTACCTTACTCGTTTGGGAATAAAGGCAGAGATTAATTTTTTTCCCCAGCTAAAAAATAAAATTATAGCTTTAAAAAAAACCAAACCAAAACAAAAAAAAACCCTAAAAACAAACAAACAAACAAACAAACAAAAACCAAACAAACAAAAAACCCACAGAAGTTCTAAACTAATATAATCAAAAAAGTAGGATTACTGGCATCGAATGCTTGTATGGGAAACAACTCTAAAGATTTTTGCCATTAATATCAACAGAAACAAAATGAGGTATCTTACTTTCTAGTTGTTATCTGAGCCAAAGGAGGATTGTACTTGTGCTATCAGTACTATCCTACTGATCTAGTTTCTAAACACTGAGGCTGTGACCAGAACAGTCTGCAAAGCTAGTTGGAGCCTGTCATCCTGTGGACATTTAACAAACTGCTATTTATAGGTTAATGCTTTGCAGTGTGTGGATTACACAGTACCTCTGCAATTATATGTCTGGATTAATTAGGATAGCTGTCAGTTCTTGCATAGTGCCAAAGGCCCTTGGCCTGTACCACCTGCCTTTTCAAACACTTCTATCTGTTTAAACAACATGCTATTCATTAAAACAGAGACTGTATTAAAAATATCCTGCAGTATTTTTATAATCTTCAGTACCACATTCAAGGACAAGCTTGGCCCATGTGGTTTGTTTTCCCTCTCCTTCCTTCTAAGACAGATTAACAGTGTCAGAAGCCTTCCAAGTCACTTGTGTCTCTCCCAATACACTTGGGTAAAGCCAAAGTCTCAGTTCAGGTAGATCAGCAGTAAATTCACCAGAGTAAGTATCAGCTACTTTGGAATCTCTTCATCAATTATGAAACTACATCACCCCACCAATTTTTTTTTCAATTACATTTTGTGCTTTGGAAGTGTTTTACAACGGGATCCATCAGAACTGGTTTTTTGACAGTCACACTATGAAAATGGGGAGATCTGAAAAAAGAAGAAAATAATTCAGGGTAAACTTTGCAAAGATTGTCGACAGAAGCAGGCTGTAAACTTGTCAAAGTGGACTCAGCTGCCATCACGTGTCAGTTCATGCCTCCCTACACCCACCCAACCCCGAGAAATGAAGCAGAAAAGCCGCAGTAAGGGAAACATTCATCCACACAAGAAGAGGGGTATAGGTAGAGAGGGGAATAATAATAGTCTTGTAGAAATCAGATTTTGAGAAGTTATTACTGATTTAGATTTGTCTGTTTCTGGGCATTCAGCTAGGGATAGTTTAAACAGCCAAGATCTCAGGAACTGCTAGGCACCCAAATATAAAAATGGTACCTTGGAAAAGACCTCGAATTAAACATGTAGCAATAGCAAAAAGATTCATTTAATCGTGGTGTCTCTTTTTTTTTTCATACACACCACTACTATTAACATTCTTCTTGATCCAGTCAAGAAAAAACCCAACATTTGTGTATACTCCTGGGTAGTTCTTCCTTCCACATCCCAAACCCCAGCTAGTAATTCTGTGGAGGGCGTAAAATCCCGAGTTGCCTTCTGAAGGACAAACTAATGGGCCACCAGAATCACTCTGCATGAGAACAAAGGAACCTTCTTATGAATTTTTGTTTTTAAACTATCAGTTCAGCTAGGAGAGGTCCCAACTGCTTCCATGCTTGGGTGGGGTCTGTTCTTAAAAGGCAGAGAAAGAAACAACCTTTGCTCAAGGGAAGTTACTCTTTTTTGCAAAATGAGTAGTTAAAATTCTGCTACTAAGGAGTCTTCTGCTTTAAATCACCACAGCCTGTTTGCAAGAAAGCAGGTTTTCTTGTGAGGTTTTACACTTCCCTTTCCAGAGCCCATCTGGCCATACCCCAAAGCTGATGTGTGTTACTTACTGTGCATGAGTCCTTGCCTTCTTCCAAAGGGAATCCAGCACAGATCATCCTCTGGGACACCTTACTGGGAAGGTTTATGTAACAGCTCTGACATGTATCAACTACATGGGTGGGAACTTCCAGCTGTTGCAGTTTTTTCCCCTTTACTCTGTCTTGAAGTCATACATGTCAGAAACCAGTAGAAGCATGAATTGGTGATTCCAGAAAGAAGCTTTACTCCTGCTCTTTTCAGATGGTCTTAGTCTAAATCATCTGATTTCCCTCTTCCCGCCAATTTTCCCTGCATATCTAGCTGAGTTTACATCAGTGAAAACTTTTTAACATGTATGTTCTCCTGAAACTAATGTATAGGCAGAATGAATGTTCCAACATAGAACACAATATTTAAAACACAGCCAAACTTCGAAAAGGCAAAGACTGCATACCTGCTTCATGTGCACCTCATCCTGTGACCACACACATCTTTGAGGGCTGGACTTGCTCCTCTCCTTGGGAGGGAGGCACAAGGGGTGCACGCAGTGGTTGAATTCCAAGGGCTCAGCCAGTTGCAGTAAGGCAATGTCAGAGTCCATAGTGGCCTCATTAAAACTTGGATGTATAATAAACTGCTGGACTGACCTTTTCTAGGAAAGCGAAGACAGCAACATTTTCGGGATGACTTGGGAATTTGAGTCTTTAAGTAATTTTGTTTTATAAATTTCCAGGCCATATGCAAGATGCCTCACAAGGGGGACACATTTAAAAGCAGCTGCTGAAGCCACCAGCTTTCTTACATTAACAAGTCACGATTATGCATCTGTGACACGGAAACTCCATGCAACAAGTTTAGGAAGAAGGTCTTGGAAAAACATTTGTCCAGTGTGAGCAAAGTGGCAAGTTGTGCCTCAGTTATTTCTGTCTTACTGATAGTCGCTGGTGAACATACAGACAACACTCCTCTCACTCCCACATCCTCCAGGATACTAAGCTTTGGAGCTCACTGCTGGTGAAGTCTCAGATGTGTGTTGATACAATTTGTTGATACACACAGAAGCTGTTGTGTAAATGCAGATTAACGTCACCATGCAAGCTGTTAGATTGTTGCATCATCAACAATCTGAGAGATGCATTTACATTAAAAGCAATTTTGCAAGATAGATTTATAATTTATTACTAACCAGAACACATAGTACCTGTCTGTACTCTTGCTCTTAAGATCATGAAGTCCTGTTACCACCATCCATAAATCTCTGTATAGTTCCCTAAGGGAAAAAAAAAAGTTCATTGTCAGGCTGATATAACATCATTCTTGAAACCTGTGAGTCTTAAAACCTACTAAGTTGCTAGAACATGTGTGTGGAGTAAAAGAATCCCTACAGTGCAAGCTGTAGGGAGCTGGTAACAACAACTGCTCCAGCCACCCTGGACAGAACCACTGTCACTGGACAGAGACACACTATGCAATTACAGAGATTCCCAGGGAAGGGTTCATCCCAGTGTACTTACTTGGAATCAAGGCAGTGGGCAGCTGTGGCAATCCATTCTTTGGCAAGAACTGTTCCTCCACAGGTAGACTCATCTGAAATTTGTACACTGACCTGCCAAGGCCATGAGTGTGGTACAGCTTCTTCACCTCCAATTATCCTGCTGAAGATGAGCCTGGGCTGATTTGAAGGCATTCCTCAAATATCATCTGAAACAGAAAGAAAGCACTGATGTTTCAAGAAGTCTTTAGAGGTTAAGATTTGGAGAAGGAAAGAACATTCCATTTAAGGGTTACCCCATAGCTTCTCAAGCCTCCGCTCCCCACCCTTTTTTGCTAAATCTTCCAACCTCCCTCATTACAAAGGATCCAAATGTTTAGAACTAGCAGGAGGAGATGGTCTTACCAAAAAAAGAACTGCACCAAGATGAAAGCTACTACTTCAAAAGTTTTAGCCTCAAACCTACAATGAGCATGGACTCATCCCATTCTCCATAAAGTGCTGGAGGGGAAAATGCTGGTTATTGTTTTCAATTACCCTGTAGTCTCTGCAATTATTTTCACCAAAGGAAGAAGGTGTAAAATGACATACAAGCTAAATTGTCATTGCATTGCTGTACATGATTTAACAAGATGAAGGAAACAAGAAAAATTAAGTTCTGCTAAAGCCAAAGCATGTGTTACTGTTCATATTTTTATTTCCTTAAAATGTCTTAATGAAGAAATCTGGGACAACAGCAACCATTATATAATTGTAGAATTTATAGTCCAAAAGTTACTCTCTATTCCCATGAAGAAAATATAACTCAGTTTAGCTTGCCTCTTGTAAACTGTGTTTCTTCTTCAGTCATATCCGTATCCATATCCATATCTCCAGATTTTTCTTCACTAGTTGGATTCAATGTATCTAAATCTAGCAAATGAGAATGGCAAATGTGTTAGCAGGCTGTCTTGAGCCATATTTATATTATAAACCCACTTTTATTTCCTTAATTTTTTGGGGAATAAAGGCAGAGAGATTAGAAGGAATAGATTTCTGTTTTAGGGATCTGTGCTACTACATCTTCACATAGTAGTGAAGTGCCATTTAAAATGCACCAAAACACTCTTACACAAATAAATCTCCCAGATTTTGAGTAGATTCACTGTTTCTTCACCATTCAGTAGGCCTTTGTTTAATGCCTCAATAGGTTCACAATATTTTTTTTTTCACTGAAACAATTTGCTAGATAAGACTCTTCTGGAACAAAATAATTCTGAATAGCTGATTTACTGAAGAGCCTTCTGTGTTGCCCCAGAGGGGCATTTTCCCAAGTTACTTGTGTTACCTGCTGCATGAACAAAAGAGACTGTGGCTCTGAATCCTCCAAAGGTCTCTGTTTCATCAGGGTGAAAGACAACCAGCATTACAGCAGAGGAGCTTAGGACAGGTGCCACTAGGGCAAATCCACAAGGCTTGGCTAAAGATGAGAAAGCAAAGGCTCACTTTGCAGATTAACTGGTACTTTTTAATCCTTCTCTCCTTCAACAGCAGGTATGCAATATTCTGTGTATTCCAGCTCTCATAAAGGAGGGTGAAAAATAACCATATACAAGAGATAAGGAGACTGAGGCTGAAGGACTGTTCTATTACTACTGACATCCTGTCCTTGCTCAGTAATTACCTCATCAGCACATCTCTGGCAGGATTTCACAACAGTCTATTGCAGCACCCACACCCACAGGTTGCCATTACACGTGAAACACACCAATTATCTGATTTCCCCTTATCAATGTTTCAGAAGTAGCCTCTGCTGGTGCCAATCTAAGTACCAGGTTCAAGCAAGTGCTGAAATCAGTTGATTGGGACAGGCCTTCCTCTCATCCAGGTGGCAGGAATGCTGCTCTGGAGTAAAGAACAGCAGATCTCTTAGGTGTTTTCTGTGTCTGATCTTCACTATAAAACCAAATTATTGTGTTATGTTTTTTTCTTCATTTAAATGAATTCAGAGCTGCATTTCCTATAGAATTTAAACACACAAAACCAATTCTGTTAGATGCGATTTTGCCTCTGTAAGTGGAACAGAGGCAGCAATACCTGCAAGTATTTTTCAAGGTACTGAAACTAGTACCTATAATATCACCTGAGACTCTAGAGGTGAACTTGATTTTAGACTGGACAATAGGGCTAGTGAAAGTCATAAAAGAAACAGGTCATCCCCAAAATAAAGAATCAAAAGTCAAACTGATTTCCTCCTCTTTTCCCACATCTTCATACACAGTCACTGCATCATAGGAGCAACCTTCACTCTCTTCTACTTCAAAGGACTGGTAGGTAAGCCTTAAATAAAAAATGAAAAACTGAACCTTGTTTTTAAAAGTCACATAGAAAAAATTCAAAGATCTGTAACAGGGTCATTACTCTTCTGAATGATTCTTGTAAGGTTTGCTTTCTGTGACATTCAGACCTCCCACAGGTGACACATAATGCATTACATGTTCTAGAAGAATCTGTCATGATAAAATCGAAATCAGGAAACCCTATTTTACTATAATCTATAGGACAAATCAAAACCTCTCTGTCTTTTGGAACTGAAAGTGATTTCTCTTAACTGCATCCAGCAGCATTATTCAAGCTCATGTTGCTTGATCTTCCTTGTCCTTAAGCTGCATAATTTCTTGTTAAACCAATGATGCCACTTCCACCCTGTAGACACAAAAAGGTTTCATGTAATACCTTGGTTCCATGGTCCTCTGGTGCATAAATAATCCATTGACAGTCTGCCATGTTGCTGTAGTGTTCTGGGTAGTGTGTACTCTGTAAGACTCCTTCTTCAAAAAGGACAGCTAGGGACTCACAGCCAGAATCTGAAAGTCCAGGAAAACAAAAATGGAAGCACTGTGACTTCTATTAAATCATTCACCAAAAAAAAAAAAAAAATAAAAAGAAAAATCCAGAAAAACTCTTGTGATGCTTTCTCACAGCTGAGGAAGAGAACAGGACAAGAGCAGGTCTGAAGAATATTTGCCAACTTTTTTTGGAGAGGAAAGTGGAGATGAACAGAAACAGAGCATGTGTCTTTCTGATGGGCTGTGCAAGTGGCAAGGCCCTCAGAAGGGATTCCTCCCCACACTCTGCCCTCACACTCTGCAAAGGAAAGAACCAGCTGGAAAAGCTGCAGAAATGGGAACAACAGGAGTCCGTAACTTAAGACCCAGCAGGTGGCCCTAGGGCCCGCTCCCTAGGGATGGTGAACTGCTCTGCACAGCATAACCAAAAGCAATTCTCTATGACATGAATTTTAGCATCAGCTGCCTCCCTCAGGGCCCCTCCACGAAAGCCCAGGACTAGCAAAGCAGCTTTCATCTGGAAATTCTGCTCCTTTGATTAATCCTATTAATTGAGTTTTAAAAACATTCTGGAAGCAGAGAAGGAAATGAGATCTTATATAAAGTGGGTGGAGCAGATGCAAAGTTAAAGGAGGACTTCTCTCAACAGCATCTATCCTATCTTGTTCTGGCATCCTAGTTTTTCCCACAGTGTCACATGGCAGCCTGGCCACACTCACCTTGTTCATTACTTCAACCACGTAGGAATACCATAGGAGATTCCTCTGATTTATTTTCTTCTGATTTTTTTTGTCAGGTCACCGCCCAAGAGTGCAGACAGGTGTATTACTAAACTTAGACTTACCAGGAAGAATATCTGGTGTAAGAGCTTTGTAGGTCATGGAAAAACCGGTTCCATAATCCTCTTTGTCAGAAACAAATTTCAGCCTTATACTATTGGAGTTAAACAAAATTGATAATGGAGGATCTCCTCCACAGCATTAGAGAATCATCACTGCTTAAAGTCTTTAGTCACTTGAGAAAACCTGCATGTACCATTTCTAGTACTTAGCTATAAAAATTTTATGATGGAGAGGAAATTGCCTATTCATTCATCTACTTTCCCTATTAAACCATTAGCCCAAATAGATTCACACTATTAAAAATTGAAAATCATTGACACCAGAAAGTCATATGCTGACATGTTTCCTTGCCAGGCATTTTCCAGTCTCTTCTCTTCCCACACTCCTGGTCTTTTACTTTAGATCCTATGTCACAACGTATTAATCATGAAAATGCAAGTAAAACAACCAACCTCCATGTCCTCATTGGGTGCCCTTGCTGTTAGAATCCAAGAGTACTCTGACATGTTATAGACCTTAAAGGTCTTTTCCAACCAGAACGATTCTATGATTATTTCAAAGAATAAAAGGGACAACAACTCACCCACGAGACTGTCATCTTTTGAATAGATTGATAAAGAACCATAGTCACAGAATGTTTCTGGCTCTGCATCAAAGTGGGAAAACTGAAGCAATATGTAATTCCCTTCTGGCACAAATAGAGTCCGTATACGCAATCTGGAATAACAAATTGGTTCCTATTCTCAAAAATACAACCAAAAAAACCCCAAACCTACCCTGGTATGGGGAATAGTTTCTGGGGAAAGGCTGTGTTTTGTCTACTTACTGGTGGTTTTCATAGGACTGTTTGGGACTTCCAGAAAAATGTAATTCCCCTTCCCTGTCATGGAGTTTGCAATCCTGAATGCTACAAAATGCTGTGTTGGAGAGTTAAAACAAAATAGAAGGAATTAGGTTTAACACATGTGCCACCATCTGTTCCACCAAAAAGATCAAACATCTGGACAATATTGTGAGACTCAAGATTGCTCAGCTGTACTTTGTTTCTCCTGGCAGACTGATGCTGGGTCTTCTCTCCTTTATTTGGAATTATATAATTTGGGAGCAAAAATGAAGGCCCTGCCAACGAGCCATCATTTTATTGTAAAAATGGCAGTGCTTGCTTTTTACCTTAACAAAACTATTTTTTACATGAAGATTTCAGTATAAATGATTTTCAGGGAGGAAAAATGCAAACTTCAGGACATGACAAAAGTGTTCATGGCAGCCCATTTGTAATAATGTCCTTAGTTATGTTACAGCAGGAGACTTTTGCAACAGTACAACAGTTGCTGTTACAGACACCATAATAGAAGAAGCAGAAGCTTTTCTCTAGAAATGCAATTAATTACAAAAATCATCTCCCCTTGCCTTTCCTTCTCTTTGCAAGGTAACACAATAAGAGCAACATTTATCAACAACTATGTGTAAGAAAACAAATTTAAGGAGTCAAGTACTTATAAGATTATCTTACCTGCAGCATCCTAGGAAGCCCAGTAAAAAATCTGAAAAAGACACAAACAGCACTTAAACTCCCAGTTCTCCCTGGCCACAGCAAGTCTACACAAACTGGCCACGTGCCCAAGTGTGTTTGTTATTTGAGAAGTCTCACTGTAGATTACTAAAATTAAAGCTTTAAGATCTACTTCAAAAGAGTTGTTTCTAGTATTTTCATGTGAACTTGTACCTAGATGAACAGTGTCCAAGAACAACATTACCAGGGCACAGTCAACATAAGCCTTCAGTTTTAAAACCTGTTACATCTGGGGATGGCTTTTATGGGGCTTTTTTTGGTTTTAGGTTTTATTCTCAGAAATAGACAAGTAGAGTCATCACAGACTGTGCAAAAGCACTACTAATTCACCACATACTTTCTATTTAGAATGTACAGTTTTTATACAGTATCAAAATCACTAAGTTTCATGCATTGCTAGAGGTTGTATTTCTATATTTTTCCCATTAATTTTAGTTGCATTTCAATAAAAATATGGCCTTATATATAGAGCTGTTTTAAGGAAAAATCATTTTTTAAGTCAGCAATGCATAAATACAACCCTCCAAATGTAATTTTTTTTACAGAAGCAGAATGAAAAACTATCTATTTAAAGTATACCTTTAAAAGTGCTTTGATGAGTTGAAGATTCTGTACATTTCTTCCTTCATAAATTATACATCCGACTATTTTAGGGGTCTTTTTATGCTCTAACACAGATAGAAGACACTGAAAAAACCCACTGTACTCACCTGTGGAGCTTCTCATTTTCAGATCTAATAAGGGGAGGATAGGGAAGGGAAGGATAGGAAAAAGAAGAATAAATTACTGTAGTTTCATATCCACAATATGGGCTTTACTTTTATCTGTGTGAAATGGCAATTTTATACAGCTAATACTGAGGCAAATTCTAGTGCTTCCTGGGGACAATAAACTAGGGCTGAGAACCAAAACAAAATTGCAAGTTAAGGCAATGCTGACTTTGGAATAAACAATTCTGGAGTAGCCACTGCTAGAATTAATGACATATTGACAGGCCACTGCTCAGCCTGAGGAGCACAGCACTCGCTTTCTACGCACTTGCTGAGTAAATACCTGAAATACATTTTAGGGAAGAGCAGCAGAATCCAGCTGGCACCATCACATCAGGGATATGGAGACATTCAGCCTGACAGCAATTGCAGTTCACATCATTTGCACCACTGAGATGGTGCAAAAGGGTGAGCAAGCAAACCCTAGTGCAGTGCAACTGAGGGTTGTGTTCTCTCTTTACCTGCTGAATCACTTCTGCTGCTCACTGGAGCCAACACATTTTAATCACTGCAACAGCTAATCCTATTATTTTCTTCTCATAATAAAATGAGCCAGCTAGTAAATATTTAAAAAGAAGACCCTATCTTCTAACTTGAAGCCCCAAACATTTTTTAGAAACTAAACCCTTTTCATTTTTCTCTGACATTGTGAGTGTTCCTTTTTTGAATCACCAGTTGGAGATGTTTTCTAATACAGAATTTTATTTTTCCCCTCCCATTTTTTTTTCATTCTTATTGACTAGTTGAACCCCTTAAGTAACCCTCCTTCAGTTTTTCAGTTCTCTGTGGAAGCTTTAACACAATCTCCAACACCTTTTAACAAAAATAGCCAAAAGTGGAAGAAAATATTAATTCAGTTTCTTAGTACTCTCAGTAAAATTCACCCCTGTCATGTCTGTCTCCAACTCCATGGCTTTGGAAGTAATGGCTAATTGTAACACTGTTCCTGTGATAGGGGGCACACTTGGTCTTTTGGGCAGAGTAAACAAAGAAACTTTTGAGCATGACTTGACCCCATGTTGTCAAATATCTGATCCAACATGTTTTAGCCAAGAAAAATGACAAGTGACTTCAAAGAGGCGCATATGGAATCTCAGACACTTTCAACTGGCGAATTTCCACTTTAAAAAAAAAATAAAAATCAAAAAAACAGGCTAACAGGCTAGGTGAATAAAAGGACCATTCTTAAAGTTAAAAAAAAAAGGGTCCAAGTAGGAGGCAAAGTATAGTGGAAGGGTAGCAAACATTTACAATGCTTTCAATTTGGTTTTGGCAACTGCTAAATCAGTATCATACATTTAAAGGCATTGTGAAATGCTACAGTGTTTTGCCAGGAAACAATGGGGAAAAATATAAGTGCTATATCCTGAAAAGACAAAAGTAAATAAAATGTTATGAGACAGAGGAGTTGTCACAAGTGAAAGACACATTACTGTGCAGACTTAATACCAGCATTCATGTTCTCTTGAATCCAGGAAAGCACTGCACTGAGGCCTGTGAATATTCCAGGAGATGATCCTCTGTTGTAATATTTCTTCTTCTCATTACTTATCCAGCCATGGGCACATCCCATCCCCCAGGAGATCACACCAGCAAGAGTCCAGGTACCGAGCTTACATCGACACAAAAGGGGGCCTTCCTGAGTCTCCCTGCAAGAAAAACCCAAACATGTAAAAGTCCGTGACCCACATCTTACAGAAGTACCACTAAGAAGTCTTAAGAAGTTTACTGAGTTCTCTTTTGTGCCATACTAACAAACCTGCAACATATACAGTCATTTTATACAGTCATTTTATAAGGAGCTGTAAATACACACACCTTTTTTTATTGTGTTTAGTCGGGATTGTCAAGAGGGGAAAAGACAGATTAGTTCCCTCATGAGAGTATCTCTGTCGTGTTTGAGCATGTAAAAAGGAGTGAGAAACAATCACTTAACCTTTATCTCACTTCCTTTCCTTCCTGTAATCCAAGGCAATACTTTCTGCTTTCGTCCAAAGGATCTTTGCAACCTTAATTAACTTATCAAGTGTTCTGAGGTTAGAAAGCCCTAAGCATCATTGCACTTGGGATGCATTGCAAAATTGCTCTCAAGAACCTGTCACACAACTCGTACAATAATTAAAATGGGATCGTGTCATTAAGTGCATTGCCCCATACAGAACTTTTGAAAGAATTCATACACCAAAATAAATACACTCCAAACCTCACAGTTTACATTGTATTTATTTACTTTGGCACACAGAGCCTTCAGCTTCTGAGAAACACTCCCAAAAGGCACGCAAGGCTTCTGTTCAGCTGACCTGGCAGGCATCTTTTCCTCCATCTGGAAATCCAGCAGACATTACAGTGTCACCTTGGATGCGTTTCTTGTTAAGTTGATAATGCTCTTCAACACTCTTTGCTGTTTAGGATTGGCAGATCAACTTCATATAAAGACCTGAGGGAGCAGTCCATCTGAAACACACAGAAAACATTCATAAGAAGTGCTGAAAGGTGAACTTGATGTCACTGCTAATACACCATAAAAATTGGTTGGACACTTGCCCCAAGATATTTTACAGTTACAAGCATTTTTTTTGTATACAAGCAGTTTTACTTGAATAAATTCCAACATGTTTCAAAACTGAAATTCAGATCTACCTTTTGTGGTGACCAGTTTTGAGGTAATTCACAGGTAGGCATAGAAGCAAAGACCCAGTTTTAAGATTACAGTTCTTTAGACCAGTTGATAGTTTCTCCTGGTCTGGTTCTGACCTGTGAAATCAAGATTTTAGCTTCACAAATAAGACACTGAAAAACCTGAATGTCACAGAACAGTGTGAGTGACTTACTTCCATCTAAACAGCCCCAACCAAAAGCAGTGCAGACATATCCTGCTTCAAATTTTTCACCTGGATGAGGAGGACATGCTGGCAAAACTGTTGAACCTGCCACATGTGGACATGGATTTTATTGGTCAGTATTTGAAAGAACATTAAGAAAAAGCTTCCTTTATAAGTTTTCAGGTTTTGGTGTTGTTTTTTTTTAAAAACCAAAAATTATTGTTATTTTTGTGGAATCTGAAAAATTAGTCTGGTATTGACAATTTATCCTCTGCATGCAAAGAGCAATAGCTTTTTCTTCATGGGAGAAAAAAATCACAGGTAATTATGTTCTTACTGAAGTTGAAGGCTCCATCCAGCTTCAGAAGGGGAATGTCATGTCTCTCATGTCTAGGGAGCTCACAGGTCAAGAATTTAGAGGGTGAGACCAGTGCAGCTTCTTTAATTCAGCACTGACTCCCAAGCTTGTTACTGCCTAAGAACAGAACCATCAGTACCTAGAAAAAAGTTAATTTTGACATGAATTTTCATCCTGCCTTCCTGAAGAGCAGCTGGCACAGCACAAAGCTCCCTAAGACAGACTATTCCCACCAGCAGGAACTGCAGCTCACTGGGGGAAAGGCACATCCTGGGATGCTACAACTGAGTGAGAGAACACAAGGAGTTTGTACAGGGAAAAAGAGACCCAAATGCTACACTGCAGGGGAACAGCAACTAATTGAAGTTACTCATCAACCCATCCATAAGGCTCCACAAATAAGTTTTCCAAATTTAACAGAGCACGATTCTTTTGTGAACCATCACTGAAGTCTTTGCTGTAAAATAAATAAAATTCTCTGTAAAACTACATTTTCCAGGCAAAATTATAAAATGATTTTACCATTGTATGCTTTGCCAGTAACACTTACTCAGGCAGATCTACATATGGAAGTAGAGCACACATGAACAAAATGTCAGATGCTATTTGCCCCTAAAACCTCTACAGCTTTTGAAGAGGCAACACTTTATATTTCCTGCACGCTTTATATTTAGCCAGTTTTATGGACCTGAGAAACATACCAAAATTTTATCATTTGGCTGGCAGCATGCTCAATGTTTTGTTATTTGGCCAAGGATTTCACAATAATAATCCCCCCAGTCCATCGTCAGTCAACATCCCATCATTTATGCATTTATTCAGTTCTAGATTTTCATTGTTCTTTGACAATCAAAGGATAACAAAACCCAGCTTTTCTTCTGAATATATAATTTCATAACAACTGAATATAAACCCCATCCAAGAAACTTCAAGTTGCACTTGGTTTTTTCTGTTACAAATACATGGAACTTCTTAAGAGCGTGGTTTTCCTACTAGTCCTGTGGAGTTCTCCAGTTCTGCAACTCCTGAAACCTGCATTACCAACATTATTCCAGTTCTAACTGAAAACTTTGAAGGCTGCTTTCCTTCACAGATTCATTTTTTATTTTGCAGGCACAAAACAAACTCCATGTACAGTAGAGCTCTGACTGCCCACTGCAATGCTGTCCTTTAGAATGATGCCATGCAATGGGATGGTATAAAACTGAGAATAAACAATCTCTGTGGTATTAAGTGATGCTGCCCAAACTCACAGTGAGAAACAGAAGCAACTGGCCCACTGGCAAACGGAGAAACTACCAGTCCAATCCAAATTTCTGACAGAAAGGCAACACTTTCTGTTCAGCAGCCAGAGTTCAGACAGAAAAAGCACAGAAGAGCACTGTCTGTACAATCTGCTCCTTACCTGGGGTGGCAAGGTAGAAGTGCAGGTTTTGTTGTTCTCCTCTTTTGCTACCTATTTATATATCTTCTGACAGCGTTTTCTTTTTCCTCTGTGCAGACACAGGCCCCACCAGAGAGCTGCTATTGCTGCTAAAACTGGCAGCCTTGGCAGGCAGCACCACCAGCATCAGCCCTCATCACAGCAGAGATCAAATCTTATGACTTGATCTCCAGCCACACATTTGCTCTGAATCTCAACACAGAGCTGGCTTTGTATCCCGAACCTTCACAGTAAGGAAAACAAAGCCATTAAATCACTAACTGTCTAAAATGGCCTGATCCATGTTTTAGCAGGTGGAGCCAGTTCCTAGCCCCCAAGTAAGGGTTCTAATCCCTGCTAGTCAGTCTGGGATGCTCTTTCTTTTGCTGTGTACTCAGAGAATAAAATGCTTGTAAATCAAAGCATGCTCTGTGCTGTAGAAATGCTGCTCCTTGCTATGAGGTTATTCAACAAATAATCATGCACACATACAAATAAGTTTAAGACCGAGAGGAAGCAAAGAATATAGATAACACTGATGATCAGAATCTTCCAGAAGAGTTGCTCTGTTTGTCTGGCTTTGAGGTGTTTTTACAGGGAGTCAAGGGCTGGTGGGAGGGGAACACAGGCTGCTTTGGGTCCACTGAGGTGGCCGGACTGCAAGACACAGGAAGAGGGGTTTAATCTCGCTAGAAAAGTTGCTTTGTGTTGCTGCTGCTGTCTGAGGTGGAAAATGTGTTCACCTACTAACAACGTGAAGTTTAAGAGAAAAGGGAACAAGGAGTGAAGGATAGAGGGTAGGGAGGGTAAAATGAGCAGCAAATGTTGGTTAGTAATTAACCTGTTAGAAGATCGGTAGAAAAGACAAGATTTAAATGGGATTGGTTTTTGTTGGGTTTGGTTGTGGGTTGATTTTGGGGTTCTTTTTAATTGCAGTGAGCTGTGCTTTCAAGGGTCACTGATCACATCCTAACAGTTTGCAGGGTAACTGCTGGAAAACTGGAAAACCTATTAGCTCAATAAAATTAATGATTTCATATTTTAAACAAGATATAATGTCTTGAAATATTAAACTTCATAAATCTTATCATTCATATATTATATTCATGAATCCAATAGTTCTTAACTGAAAGCAGATTTAGTTTTGATATGGATTGAATGTATTTATGTTTATATAGTTGTGCAGGAATTTCGATTTTCCAAGAAACTTATTTTTCACAAATTTTAACTATAATCATTCCAGTGACTATTTTAACTATTGTAATTCCAGTGACTCAATTCGTATTACATCCAAGTTTGATGTAACAAAAGAATCAAGCCTAATTCTCAAGATAAGCCCATTATTGCCTACCATTTCCCCAAAAGTAAAGACAACATTAAGATGCACATGAAAGATCCTGAATGGTGCAAACACAAAACTCACTTCAATTTTAATATGTTTTAAAAAACACTACCCCCACACACATACACATTGAGAGAAGGGAGCTTTGCATTCACTTTTTTCAACCAGAGCCTTTGTGTTATTTCAAAGATCAATGGATTGGAAAGCTGAGGGAACTACCTCAAGATTCTCAATTCCTAGAACCACAACGTGAAATAACTTCAGCTCACAACCACGTTTTTCCCTCTCCCTCTGCACAAATAAAGTCACATCTCAGAGAAGTAAAATGTGATGCCTTCAGCTGGGATTCATGTACCTTTTTAGACCAGTAGAGGTCACTGATAAATTCACTTGCCTTGCCAAAGACAAACCGCATAATTTCATCTCGACATTCCCACATGAATTCTAATTAAGGTAGTCTTCTAGTTTAGGGTTATAGCTGGGTTTGGGTAAACACTGTAAAAAAGGCCTGCACACTAAAATTTTGCAGTAACAACTCTCACCACGCTACCAATTCATTTTTCAGAAAGATTCATATCCATGATTTTTCAGTCACCCAAGTATTTTTGGGGGGAGCAAAATGTTTGTCTGAAAACTAAGCAAATAAATATTTGTGAAAAGGTCAGAGACAAAAGTTTTAAGCCAATGCCATTTTGAACTCATTTCATTCCACCTGCTAATAAAAATGATGCTGACAACTGATTGTTTCTATACCAAGGACAAACAAACAGTTGAAAATAAGGCAGACGTTTCACAGGTGATCCAAAACAACTGATGTATGTTCTCACAGTGCTTGCAGGTTCATGATAGCTCTAAACCAGCCCAAGTTTAGGCTGCTCCCAAAGAGGGCAGTTGTGCCCCAACTCCCATGGAAGTGTCTGTTACAGTTCTTTTCCAAGCTTTGTGACAACCTCCTGTCTAGCTCTGGTTAATAAATATGTCTCAGCTAAATGTTCTGCAATATTAAAGCATCATTTATCACACTCTGGGGATTTTGAAGTCCCTTTTGAGTGTGAAATGCCTGAAAGGGCAAAGTATCTTTATAAGACTTTTAGCAGCATACCACAATTTAAAATATACAGTCACCTAATAACTCAGTAGTTCAAATAGGAAAGTTGCTACCACCCCTGCACAACTTAGGTCTGCTCCACATCCTCCCAGGTTTCAGATCAAATTCCCCTGGTTGTAGACTGCTTTCTGAGACTTCATGCCTTTAACATTTCCTCCCTCTCTCCCACTGTGTTCCCATTACAGCCCACCCCAAAACTGAGTGTTCTTGCCTCAGAGACACATTTCGTTATGTTTTATTACTTCCAATTAACTCAAGTATGGACTCAGAGGGAGCAGTAAAACTGAAAGGTTGCCTTTTGATAGTGTTTTTTACTTCAGCTTGCTCCATCCTCCTAAATTCTTCAGTTGACCCGTCAGGGCACAGAACAAAGTGCACAATAGCAAGAATGTTCAAAAGAGCACTTGGTGGAATAAGAACCCACAGAAACCCCCCAAGATGCTGTTTCCCAGAATATTTGGCCTTTAATTCAGGATTTTGGATACACATCAAGATCTACTTGAGTCTCCTGTGCAAAAAGAAAAGGAGTGCAATTTTAGTGGAAAATCCACTAAGCTCTTTTTCATCCTGCAAAGCACAGTAATTGCTGTATGAGCCAAAAGTAACCAGTAACCAAGAACTAAAGGAAACAACACCTGCTTGCCTTTTCCCACTTTTCACAACAAATGCAAAAATACTGCAGGCTATGAAGAGCACAGTGGATTAAGATATCAGCCAAAGCTTCCCTTGGATAGAGTCCAGCCTTATATCTGTGGCATAACTGATTAATTGGGAAAGGACAAATGAAGGAAGAGAAAGGGAACAAAATTGTGCTTAGTTCAAGTATTTGGCCTGAAAATGCTCAAAATGCTTTGTAGGGATAGATCAATACTGACATTTTTCAGATACAGAAGATCTGGCATATGGATTAAACAAATCAGCAACAGCCAGAAGCAAGCTGGTCACTTAGTTCCCAAACGTATAGCATCCCCTTGGGAATGTTTTGTGGCTAGTGAAACACATAGTCTGAATACCACAGTGGTAGCTCCTCAATGTAATTAAAAAATAGAGGAACACTAAAGCATTCATTTTGTGTAACTGCACTATTTTATACATGTTAGCAATCACTGCAGTATCCAGACCCCTTATTTAGCACCTTCTCACATCCAGAATAGTAAAGGTGGAAATTCAGTGAGCCTGAGCCCATGAGGAATTGTACCACAGAGGAGTTATGATGAGCACAAAGGGTGTGAGCTCCTGGCTCTCCTCACTCAGATATCAAGAAAAGGTTCTTCACCCAGAGGGTGGCTGGGCAGTAGAACAGGCTCCCCAGGGGAGTGGTCACAGCACCAAGCCTGATGGAGCTCAAGGTGCGAGGCACTGGAGAACAGGCTGCCAGCTGTCCTGCACAGAGTCCATCCATCCATCCATCCATCCATCCATCCTTCAGTCTTCCCCCCACTGTCAGAACTGTGCACATGGAGATGTCTAAGGATGCCTCCCACAGCTCGTTGCTGCAGGACAAGCACTCCAACTGATAAGCACATTTTTGTCTCATACCATGCTCCAACAAGGACAGTTGAAATGATGCTGGTGAGACCTGGCACGATTTAGCTGAACAAACATTCACCAAGCAGGCTTTGGAGACCAGGAGACTGAATTGTTTTTCACAAGAATGTAATTTCTTCTCTCTTCTGCCCAATGATAAAGAATACAATGCTTTCCAGGGTAACCAGGTAAGTCACTTGAAAAAAAATATACACCTATTAAGATGTATTATTTGAACTCCTCACCATCCTCTTGATAGGATATCATTCTGATGTTGACCAGCTTGTAGGAAAAAAATTTCAGCTCACCTAAAGAAGCATCAGCTCACACTTTTCTCACTTGAAAAAAAATCTACACCTATTAAGATGTATTATTTGAACTCCTCACCATCCTCTTGATAGGATATCATTCTGATGTTGACCAGCTTGTAGGAAAAAAATTTCAGCTCACCTAAAGAAGCATCAGCTCACACTTTGCTCACTGTCTCTCTCACATTTGGGCCTAATACCAGGAAAAAATAACTGGACACATTAGATTTTCCATGTCTAAACAACCCTTCTGATGATGGCTTTAGCATTTTATCATGAAACACCAACATCAAATACCATTGAGACTACAGTCCTAACCTTTATCCCCTCTCCAGCTTCAGGTACTCATGCCCCTGATTACAGACTATCTTCCAACAAGGGTCAAAACATCATAACAGAGCAAGTTATACAAGACTAATTCGTCTGCTACAAATGAGACATTCATAATAATTACATCAAATCAACTGCACATCTCTTATTACATCGATGCCTAACAGACACACAACCCTAAATAAATCAAAGAAATCACTTGATTCTTGGAGAGCACAGTGAATATATTTTAATGTCTGATTTTAACGTGGGAAAGACTTACAGTATTACAGTGCTTACAGAACATGCTCAAAATACACAAATACACCATCTCAGGCAAGCAGCAGCGAGAGGAATTCTTGCAGGATTTTCCAGAAACATACTGAAGGTAAAAATGTGTTATATCAGCCTGGCACTGCTGTCAGTATAGTGACTGCACTGCACATCACATCAAGAGCAGGACATGAAAGGAGAGCACACCAGGTGACTCCACACATCATTGCACAGCCTGTTTCACGGTGGGTACTGCTGCCTTACAAGGACATGGAACTGAGTCCAAACAGTAGGGAGAGGTGAATGATTCATCAAACTGGCTTATAAGTCCAGGAGGAGGAAGTCCAAAAGTAACCCATGTATTTTCTCTTGATCAGTCAAAAGAGACCAGCTTCCACTCTTACAGGAGACTGGCACATAACCACAGTCTGTTTGCTCTCGGCCAGGACCGTATCCATGGCTAAAGTACTTATTTTCAGGACCCGGGAGAAAAATGCAATCAGAGAGCAGGCTCACAGCACCCAGCTACTGGTTTAGACTGAGAGATGAAGCCAGAAACCAGGGGAGAACAGTGATGAAGCAGCGTGCTCATAAAGCTAACTTATATCGTGCCAGAACTGTTGAAAGGTGGATTTAAAAATCTTAGGGGGCACTTTCCAGGATGAAGTCTGGGGAGTGGGTTTGGGTTTGTGAAAGATTGCAAGATACACAGTCCTCACTTTTGCACGTGGAAACGGAGACACAGAGAACAAGAGAGACTGAACGAAGTTAAAATCAGAACTATGTCTCCTGTCTCCTGACACTACCAGAGTAATGTGGGAAGCACAAGTAAAGTCAGCCCAAGCACAGAAAACAAGCCAGTCTGGAGAGACGAGGAGAGCCAAGCCAAACAGAATTACTGAACAACGATGGGACATCCCCTTCATTTTTAATTAAAATACAGCCAATAGTAGGATCCACTGCCTTCACATTTACGCTTCTGGCTGCCCCCCAGCAACCTTGGTTGCTCTGTCTCAGCTCTGCCGTGAGATGGCAGAGCAGCACCGTTCCTGCCGCGGGGTGGGTGATCTGCAGCCGGCAATTTGGTGTTGCCTGGTGTATAAACTCGCAGCCATGCAAGCAGCTGTACTAACCAAAATCAATCGCTTTCCCTCTGTACTGCAAGACAAAACTCGTTCAAATACAGTGAGATACCTAAAGTAATATCAAATAGTTCATGATCGTTAACAGACTGTGTAGAAATGAATTTCGATCTGTTTTCAGAGATTGCAGTGAAGGCTTCAGGAAAAATGAGAAACCTGCAAAATTATTTAATCATAATGAGGAACCACGTGATGAGTAACAGTGACATGCAGTCAGCACAGATCTTGCTGCAGGGTTTTTGTGTGGCTTTGCCAGTTTTGTGTCTCATTCTCAATGCTGAGGGTACCAGGGACAGTTATTTGCAAACCCTTTCTGCCCCACAGCAAACCTAAGTAGGATTCATCCTAATACAAATAGATGCACTGACCCGAAGTCACCTGGGTTTAAGCTTTATGTAGCTTAGAATCCTCAAGCTGAATTAATATTCCTATTTTTTCACTTCCATAACTAACCCCCTGCTTGCAAGCAGCTTGTACCAATGCAACCACCAGCAATATCTGCTGCCACAAGGGACTCACAGCTTAGCTACTACCAGCAATGGAATATTAGTTCTTTCCTTTAGGGAAAATAGGTTGTGCTTCAGTAAATACCACACAGTAGGATGAAAGAGGGGAAGTAGAAAACTTTTCTCTTGGAATTGAGGGGATTCCTTGTCTCTGCAATGGTTGATGTAGCTATAAATACCCAGCAGGAAATGAGAACTCTGCCTTACAAAATATTCAGTACTTAAGAGTGTGCAAACACAACTGAAGTCTTTGGAGAAATTATTGT